ATCAAAACTCTTCAGCAGATGTTGCTAACCGCACTTGTTGTGTATTTCACATTACAATTATATATTATTGTTTATGTTGAAAGATTAGTTGAAAGATAACAAGTGATATTATATTATATGATTATTATTATTGTTGATATGGCTTACTGTTTAGTTGATATATAATGAGAAAAGAAAAAACATGCTTGAAATTAATTTGAAATACGGTAAAGAATATAGAACCAACATTGCAAGGAAGCAATTTCAATGCTACATCAATGCAAAGAGTGGCCAGTTTTAAAACTGTAATAAAATTTTGAAATTTTTAAATACGGCATAATTTTTTTAAAAACTTTTTTTTTTTGCAATAATTGAAGTTAATTTCGAGCAAATAAATGAAGCTAATTTCAACATTGGTGGTTTGGCAGGCAAGGTTTTATAGTGGTGCTCAGATATCAGCAATTTTTTATAATGGTTGTCGGATAACAGTCTAATGATAATGATCAATGATGGAGATTTGATAATGTTGGTCGAGCAGTGAAGATCGATGGAGGTTGAGTGATGGTGGTCAGATAGCAGAGATGAGGCGACCATTCAATGATGGCAGTCGGGAGGAGTTCTTATATTGCCGATTGAGCAGTTATCCAATAGTGATGGTCGGGCGCGGGTCTATCCGGTAGTAGCACTTAGTTGGAGTTTCATGATTCTTGAAGCCTCTAAGTTCCTTGAATCCAAGCAAAGGGTTCCCTTCATGTAGAGAGTGTAAGCTTATTTATAGATTTTTAGATAAACATGCTTCATAAATATACTTGAAATCTGGAACAATTTAAATTATGACGCATACTAATTCTCTTGATCATAGAATCATTCGTTCAGTATTCAAATGTCTAAATAATTTCAAAACTAAGCAATATTGGGCTCATTGGATTCGTCTCATTGAGATGCTCAATTTGATTATAAGTGCAAATTTCATAGATAATTTAGTCATTTAATTATTATCCCAAAGTTTTTGCCTTAAGTGCTTAATTTAGGCATATTTAAGCTTTGTTCAGATCACTTTTGATGGTGATAGAATTGGAGTCAAATTCATCTATAGCTAAATTTTAAATTTTTCTTGTTTTAATTTGCATGGAGTTCTAGCTCAATCAAATTAATTTTCATGCGAAATATCAATTAACTATTGTAGAGCAGCAATAACTCTCCTACAGGCTAATAAAGAAAAGAATTCAACTTTTGTGCCTTGAAAAATAAAACACTTTATTTACCGCATCTCCCCCATCTTTTGACATCCATTTTTAAAACTCCTTTATCGAAATTATCTTAAAAACTCTGCCTACCACTAAACTATTAAAGAATTATATCCTTTGGCCATCTCAATTGGAGAAGTTTGCGAACCACCGTTTGCCAGCGTTGCTTGTGCTCATTGGTCAATCTATTTTATTACCAAAAGAGAAAAGAAAGCAATATAAGTCCTCGTTACATAAAATATTAGCTAGCGATGTCGGCAAGTTTCCCATATTGATATTGAAAAGTCATCACAATTATCTTTTTATATGTCAGCGAAAAAAAAAATCAATGCGGCACCTAATTACATTAAAGACATTTGGACTTTACTCTTTGAACTCGTATAAGTGTCTTTCTCTTGTGAGAGATTATTACATGTGGTGTCCGGATCGTTCGGAGACGAATCCGGAAGCGCCACATCACCCGGATGCATCGGGCCCCGGGTGATGTGGCGCATCCGGATTTGCCTCCGAACGAATCCGAACGCCGCATGTAATATATTTTTTTCTTCTCTCGTAGGGCTTTCTTTTTTTTTTCCAACAATACAGTCTAAACGACTATATATCTTGCCTTCTGTCTTCTTACTTTAACTTATAATATATTATAAAATACCTTTCTGGTATTTTATAATCATTTGAATGATAGATAGCATATTCAAATAGAAAAACTCAATTATTTAAATAAAATTAATAATATTCATCACAATATTTATTGAAAATGTTTCATTTAAGTAAGTCAAGTTATGTAATAAGTTCTAATAAATGCTTGGTGTAAAATGAGTTTTAGAAAGTAGTAAAAAACCTGTCCTAAACAAAGCATAACTCTTAATTTGTAGCTTTCTAATTATACATAGAACTCATTATGAATTACAAGTTAAGCATAAGTCCAAATGCGGCTTGTAAACTCGTTCATGCTGATATCGGCACTTCAAAAGTATCTAACTGGTTCTTATTGAGATACCTGCTCAAAACAATTTGACCTCCTATGAGAAGCACTCAGCACTAAGAAAGGCAGTTGACCAACAAGCTGGTTGGCAATATTCCATGAATTCATGAGCATTCTCTCAACAAGGCAATGACCTGAATACTTGACTAGGTAGAATAGGCTGAGGAGTTGGCACCTCCAATAGGATTCTCAAGATAACTTTCTTAGGTTTATCGAAGTTTTAGGAATTAATCATCTCATCATGAATCCTTCATCCACAAATATCCCCTACAATTAAAGTTATTTAACTGATGCTGACTTCTCTGATCCAACTACAAAGAAGCACACGCGCCTCAAAGTTTATAACTATGATCTCTCAGGTATGGACAATCTTTAAGTCGCGACCTCTTCCTCCCAAGAAGACTAGCCCTTTCACTTCAAGAGGTCTAAACCTTTTATCAATTGACTCGTTATTTCGTCCAAAAATTTCAACCATCATATATATGGGGCCCATAGGATTAGCCCACTGCACTAGCTTAATAAGACTAGTACAAAGGACTTGTCCTGAGATCAATGGACCTATTATATATAGAGATCAACATGAAAGTCAATTAGCTAGACCACATATGCATGACACCCTATAATAAGTTACATCAGACATTGTACTTTTTTAACTTTCTTATCATCTACCCCTCTAAACTTAATAAATAAAAGGTGAAGATACATCTTTTGGGACTTTTGATTTCAAAAGGCTTGTTTATTTTGTGGCACTTGTGAGCTTTTGGATCTTTGGAGCTTCTATATATTCTTATTTTTCTATGTTCCTTAGATTCCATACTATTCTCTCCAAGGTCACATAGAGCTCTACTCGCCCAAACTCAACTCAATTCCCAAACTCATGTTTTGAGATTATCTATTAGTAAGGTCGGGTATCATCCAGAGACATTCAAATCAAACATCTTCAAAAAGTGTTTTGAGTGTGGATTGATGTTAGTGATTTGAATACAAGCATATTCAAATCCAACATCCTTAAAAGGTGCATTGAGTGTGGACTGATAACAATGACTAGAAGATAGACACATCTTGAAGAGCAAGACAACCCTCTGATACTTCTATTAATGTACAAATGACATTATGTTAATCCTAATATATACTCAGACACCTAATTAGTAAAAGTACATGTCAATGTATAGAATGTTCAAGTTTAAATAACATGTTCTAAAAAAAGCTAATCCTCATGTATGTCACTTGTATAAATAATTTCTATGTTTATG